CCCCCCATGACCCTGGTGAGGATTAAGTGGTGTATAGATGATGGATGGATGGATGAGTTTAGTGCCCTCTAGTGACACAACGCTGCAAAGCTTCATGTTCCAACAGGGTTTTTCTTCCTCTCTTGTGATCTCAGGGGAGCTCCACTACCAGGCTCAGTCTCCCGATGAAGGCGCTCTGGTGACGGCAGCGAGAAACTTTGGTTTTGTGTTCCGCTCGCGAACACCAGAAACCGTCACCCTCATGGAGATGGGCAGGAAGGTCATTTATGAACTCGTGGCTGTTCTGGACTTCAACAATGTGCGAAAGAGGATGTCAGTAATCGGTGAGAGAACGTGGTGACTGGATTTCCAGCTTCTTATCATCGTCGCAATCCTTCTTGAAAATGACGAGACTGTGATTCGCAGTGCGCAGCCCAGATGGGAAGCTACTTCTGCTGTGCAAAGGAGCAGACACCATCGTCTACGAACGGCTGCATCCCTCCTGTGACAACCTGATGAAAGTTACGACCAACCACCTCAACGTGAGTGATGCCATTTTTGTGCCATCATAAACCTACTTCAAAAAACCTCATGTGTTTGTAAATGCTTTAAATTGTTCAACCAAAATCAGGAGTATGCAGGCGACGGCCTCCGTACGCTGGTTCTGGCCTACAAGGACTTAGATAAGAGCTACCTGGAGGAGTGGAAGCAGCGCCACCATGAGGCCTGCACCGCCATCGACGGACGAGAGGAGAGACTTGATGAACTTTACGAAGAGATAGAGAAAGACCTGATGGTTAGTTCATCTGCTGGCAGTGGTTAGCAATAAAAGCAGGTTTTTTAAACACTAACCCTATAAGTCAACTTTCATCTGGGTTCTAGCTGCTGGGAGCGACCGCCGTGGAGGACAAGCTGCAAGACGGCGTCCCGCAGACCATCGAGCAACTGGCTAAAGCTGACATCAAAATCTGGGTGCTGACTGGAGATAAACAAGGTTTGTGCCATACGAGCTTGTCCTCCTGTTTTTCATGATAATCTCCATCCGGTGTGACAAGCTTCCCAGCTTCACGGGACGCGTTGAACTGTCATCAGAGCATCAGAGATCGTGAATGTTCGAAAGACTAATCGCACCACATTCATTGTGACCGTTGTCAATGTGGAACAGAGACGGCGGAGAACATCGGCTATTCATGCAACATGCTCAGAGAGGAGATGAAGGACGTGTTCATTGTGGCGGCCAACACGGCGGACGAAGTCAGAGAGGAGCTACAGTAAGTCACTCACAAGCTGCTGTCAGGGCTGCTGATGGCTGTGAATTCGTTGGTCATTTTTCAGCACAGACGTACTTAAAGAGCCCATGTTCCCTTTCCTTTAGCGAGTCATACAGCTGCTGTACATGGAAGGTCTGCAAAGTTTATACTGAAGGAGGTCATTTCACTGCCCCCTAAGGCTTCCTTAGCTCCTGCTCTTATGCAGGAAAAGTTCTGGCAGTCTAGTCAACGTGTCATAATGCAGTCAGTGGCTGCCATTTGTGAAATAAACGGTCCTTGATTCACAGAAGAAGAAGACAGCTGAGGTGAAAACTGTTGATTTTATCAGCTAAAACTCGCGACCATAATCCAGTGCTGATGTAAAAACAAAAAGGGAATCTTCTGAAAGTCAATTCCTGTAAAAGAATCTTAAATATGAGCATGTTTGCTGCATACATGACACAGTGAGGCGAAGGCTACATGTTCCATATAAACACCAGCATCCTCAGCAGATGCTGGTCCATGAAACCGAAGACATGTAGCGCTACAGCAGTTAGCTCCCAAACAGGGGATACATTTGTCCATTTTATTGAGCCAAACTGTGACATAGCACTTGGTTTAGGTTGAACAGCATCAGAGCAGATAAACTCAGAGTTCATTCCGTTACATACAGCTTTGATTTGTGTATATGCAGCTTGTCAGAGGGTAGTTTTGCTATTGTACCGATACTCATTCAGAAGGAGAGGAGACTCCTGATGATCAGCAAAGGGCACGTTTGTTGACTGCCAATCAGAAAGGCAGGTTATAACTGAACTCAGTAAACTGTGATGTTCATGCTTCAGACCTGCTGGCTTCATTCTGGTTGTCTTATGGCAGCTAATGGCTTCATGGTCAATTTGCTTCCTGGATAAAATACAGTTCAGAGCTAAATACTGAGCCTTTCATTAAGACGTGCTAATCACTCCGCTGTCTTCCTGTTTTCAGGAATGCAAGAAGGAAAATGTGCCCAGACGCAGCAGAGACGCCACATGTGACCACATCTCGTGCTGGGTTGTTCTGGCTGCAGAAGACACAGACTGTGCAGGATGAGAAAGTGGACGGAGACTATGGCCTCGTTATCAACGGACACAGTTTGGTACGAAGGCTTTTTTCAGGCACACGACTATTTCTGGTCGCCTCTGAGTCAACAAGAACCTTTGTCCTCATTGTGCCTCCATGTCCTAAATTCAGAAAAGGTTCTGCTGGAAGCCTTGTTTGTTTATGACGACGTTTTACCTGGTTAGGGTCAAAACGTTTACAGTGGTGGTTGTTACATCGTGCAACTAGAGCACCAGCATTTTACAGGTCGATCCCTTCCTGCCTTTCCCCTTCAGGCCTTTGCTCTGGAGAAGGACATGCGGATGGAGCTGCTGAGGACGGCCTGCATGTGTCAGACGGTGATTTGCTGCAGGGTCACCCCTCTGCAGAAGGCCCAGGTGGTGGAGTTGGTCAAGAAATACAAGCAGGCCGTCACTCTTGCCATCGGGGACGGAGCCAACGATGTCAGCATGATCAAGGGTAACGATCACACGGCGGAGATGCAGAACCAAACTCCCGTTGGGCGTCTTAACTGACTCCTTCCTGTCCGTCCTCTAGCTGCTCATGTCGGTGTCGGTATCAGCGGTCACGAGGGGATGCAAGCAGTAATCTCCAGCGACTTCTCTTTTGCCCAGTTCCGTTACCTGCAGCGCCTCCTGCTGGTGCACGGCCGCTGGTCCTACCTGCGCATGTGCAAGTTCCTGCGATATTTTTTTTACAAGAACTTCACCTTCACCTTCGTGCATTTCTGGTACGCCTTCTTTTGCGGTTTCTCTGCACAGGTGAGAGACATCAGTTCAGATTTTTTCATATGTTATAAAACAGAACAAGCATTTACATACACTTGTAAAGAACATTTTATAGAAGTCTGAAGTTTCTAATGACTTCTGTGACTCTTAATTTCTCTGATGGCATCTTTGAATCTTTTACATCTTTGTCACAAAAAAAGCAATCATGCATTTTGGTTCTTTCCTAGATTTATTACAGCCCTTCTGGAAATATGACCAAAACTGCCGGCTCAAAAACACAGCAAAGCTAACATCTAGTTAAATGTCCTTTAGGCCATCTTCACCCCAGGTAGTGTCGTTCCCTTCTGGTCAAGCTTCTGGTTGACGAATTGATGCAGTTCAATGAAATTTGTCGACTTTGTGACACAGACTTGGTTCTTCATCACAGTCCACAGATTCTCGATGGGTTTCAGTCTGGACTTTGTAGTTTCAGTCTCATGAGTGCATCAAATGGGTCCTATTTTCATTATCTCAGAGGATCCAGCAGCTGTCATCAGCTGTAATCGTTCACAAGAAGTGAGGAGGCCGTGAGACAAGGACAGCTTTCTACATCAAGCTGCTGTGTGTTTCCTTTTCACGCAGCAGATTCTCATGAGATACGTGGTGTTTATGATGAAATGTAAGCTTTTGATCACGACTGTAAGGAACTCGTACAACTGTGGACATTTACTTGTTTAATGCAGTTATGATGTTTCCCTCTACTTATAGCGCGATGCTATTCCCATGTTCAGGAAATGATCGGAATAGCATTAAAATCATATAAAACGATGCAACACAGCACAAAGAGAACATGACTTAAAGCCACAACGTCGTTTAATGACTTGTACGTCTAACATATGAACTGCAGAAGACATCTCTACGGGCTCTTAGGATTTATTTTTTTCCATCCACCAGCTGTTGTAGGGCAGGCATGTTTACAATGTTAATGAGATGTTCCTAAATTGCACCAACATGTTTCCTGGTGATTTCGTTGTTCACAGACTGTGTACGACGAGTGGTTCATCACCTGCTACAACCTGGTCTACACAGCTCTTCCAGTCCTCGGCATGAGCCTCTTTGACCAGGTCTGCACGACGAGGACGTCCGTCATCGTTTTAACAGTATTCAGAAAGTCAAACCCAACGTTTTGTTGAGCTAACATCCTGTAACTTTTTCTCAATCCTGTTTCTGCAGGATGTAAATGATCGCTGGAGTTTCCGCTATCCTCAGCTCTACTCTCCGGGCCAACAGAATCTCTACTTCAACAAAAAGGTCTTTGTGCGCTGCATGATGCACAGCTGGTACAGCTCCCTGATCCTGTTCTTCATCCCCTGGGCCGCCATGCACGACACGGTCAGAGATGACGGCAAGGACATCGCCGACTATCAGTCGTTTGCTCTGCTGGCGCAGACCTGCCTGCTGGTTGTGGTTAGCGTGCAGGTGAAGAACAACAGCCCATTCATCTCCTTATGTCCCATTACAAACACTGATTTGCAGAATAATGCAGCATATCTCAGTATAAACTAGATGTACTGAACCCACACTGTGAATGAATCTGAGAAGCTCATTTTTAGTTATCCTGGCGAACACACTTTATGTTCCAGCTGTGTCTTGACACCTACTACTGGACGGCGGTGAACCAGTTCTTCATGTGGGGCAGCCTGGCCGCCTACTTTGCCGTCTCATTCACCATGTACAGCAACGGCATGTTCCTCATCTTCACCTCCGCGTTCCCCTTCGTTGGTGAGTGTCTTCAACCATTTGTAAAGGTTGCGGTAATAAAAAGTCAAGTCAGCAGAACACATTTTGGCTTCTTTCATCCATAAGATCACATGTTGCAGTCTGTAACAAGCCAACATCAGCACAAAGCAGGTGGGCTTTGACTCACCAACGTTCTGTTATTCTGCTTTAGCGTCTTCTTTTCAAGCCCCACTTCGTACACATTCCTGTGTAGCGACAAAGCCTTTTCCTTTGTGAGTCTGACTGCTGATCAGATGTTTTCTGGGGGGATTTCAGGCGTAGCAAGAAACTCTCTGAACCAGCCTAACGTGTGGCTGACCATATTCCTGGCTTCCCTCCTCTGCCTTCTCCCCGTGGTGGCGTTCCGCTTCATTCTCATACAGCTTCGTCCCACCATCAATGACAAGGTGAGGAGCTGCAGCGAGACAGACTATAAAATCCTCATGGTTCATGCTGACGCCTGTCGGAGGCAGCTGAACCCTGAGGACGTGAAATATTAACAGTATAGTGTCATGAATGGGTGCACATTGAACTCTTTCCCTGTTTGTCCCTGTAGCTGAGACATAAGGTGCAGATGGAGGCGCTGCCAGCACCTGCTCCTCGCCGCCCACCTCCTCGCCGCATCAGCACCCGGCGCTCGGGCTACGCCTTCTCCCACGCGCAGGGTTACGGCAATCTGGTAACGTCTAAAAACTTCCTGCGGCCCTTGAAGAAGCGAACGGCCCTGTTTGTACAAACCGACTCGCCCCTGGCTCAGAATGAGCCCCAGCACTATCGCTCCATCGCCGAGGAGCCGGAGGGCTCACAGAGCCCCTAGCTGAGGAGGTACGCAGGGACAAGAACACTGAATGTTTCTCAGCTTATTGGAGAGGATGCGCAGAGTAAAGTTCACCACCTGGATGGTCTCCAGGTCAAACTTTTACTCTTAAACTGAGTCAGTACTCAAACTGGTGGTGTTTTCTAGCAGATGAATGTCGGTGTCACTGTGAAAGTGTTCATATGAATATATACAGAATATGAAGCCTGAAAAAACACGCTTGTGGTTTCGCATGTTTTCGCTTAACAAGTACAACTTTCATATCCTGCAGCCAGCATCATGGCAGCGTGCTGCAGAAGGAGGTTTAGGTGTTTCTCTCCAGGTTTCAGTTCATTTCATCACGACTAAAGTCGGCTTGTGGATTCCCTTTAAGTAACTTATGAATGTTGCTGTCATGAGGGAGGGCAGACTGAGCCAGGATGGTATCAGCAATCATTTTTCAAATATGAGAGTCACGTCGTTTCACACAGTGCAGGTGGGTCGTACCGTTTGCTTTCTGCGTCTAATCTTCCACCAACACAGCCCACACACTTCATGTTTGTTCACATTAATTCTGTTCAGCTTTGTTGGAATATTTGTGTGCAACTAAATGTCTAAAATCTGCAGCAGCTTTGTGAAAAAGCCTGCAAGGTAAATGTATACGTACACACAGTAACAGCTGACTCTCACCTCTCAGAAGTTAACGTGCCGTAAACACTCACCATCTGGTTCTAAAGCCTCCCTGCAGAGCCTGATAGTGTCGATTTAATGTAGACGTAGAAAAATGCACCATCAAGGTTAGAGATGTCTGCTGCTTTAGTTTGTACTTGTGAAGCGAAAGCATGCAATAACCGTGAACTGAGATGAGTTCTGTGTCCTGACCATGAAATTTTTTCACGAGATTTTTTAAGTCATTTAAAAAAAAAAAAAAAAAAAGAGTGAACCTTGCCATTAGCAGATCTCGGGAATCGGGTTTATTGCCTGCAATGACAATTTGTACTTTTTTATTTATCTGTCAATTTTTCAGGAGAATTCTCTGCAAAATGATAAAACTCTGATTTGAGGTTCAGTTGGAATCTAACATTGCTTTTCTTGTGTTTTCAGTTTACAAACCTTTTTAGATGAATGTCTTTGAACATGGTTTTATTACTGCTCTCCTGTGTTAATGATCTGTGCCTTCATTTATTATTGAGCCTTTCGTAAAGGTTGAACTGAACCGTGTGAGTCTCAGTGTGTCTGAATACAGCCAGGGGGCAGTGTTGTCATCGAACCTCTGAAATAAAAGTACAGCAAAAGTTAGAGGTCCAGACGGAGCGACGACCTGCAGATACCACATGACGCTACGACACTGTATTCTGCCGCTGTGACATCACATCACTGTTTTGTTGCCTGAATTACTCACATTTCTACCTTGAGGATCAACTGTGAATAAAACAAACCCACAAACCTGCAGAGCTGTTTTTTGAAAAAAGAAAAACTGAATGTAAATCGCGTCTCCTTCAGACAAGCAGATGCTGATTGAAGCGTGCACACGGAGCAGTCCTTCATCAGAATAAAGGATTGTTGTAAATATTTTATAGCCTGACTCGGTCACAAAGCCTCGACTCAGACCTGCTCCAGGTTTTCCTGCATTATAAATGCAGCTGTGTGCTTCCTCAGCTCTCCTCCCACTGCCGCTCCGTACAGCACTATCTATCTGCAGACAATATGCATTCAGCCCACAGCTGCAGCGTCCTCTAAGACGGCGAGCGGTGACCTCGCTGATGGAGGGCTGTCCCCGTGTGGCACAGATCCAGGAGAGCTTTCTGCATTCTGGTGCACAGCTGAAGAACCGGGCTGGTGTCTGCTACGCCTCATGGGTCTGTGTGGACAGTAGAAAGCAGATAATCACCAGAAAACCGGGTTTAAAACGTGTTTGATTCAAGCCGGTGCAACAAAAGAGTAGAACTGCTCTAAAATGACAGAATACTTGTTGGATTGTACTTCCACACTGGAAGTCATAGGTTCTGCTCAGCTGATCTCACTTTAACCCTCATTCAGAGCTCCTTCCCTTATGGCCGGCCAGCACCGTCAGCACCGTCAGCACCGTCAGCACCGTCAGCAGGCTTGTCAGTCTGTGGTGAAGGTCACTGCATGATCCCACAGTGGGGAATGCTGTATAAATAGCCTGCATGTGAGACACGCCCCAACTATGACAGAGCACATTGATAGTTATCTGCCCTTTATCTTTATGAAGCAATTTAATATTGGTTTAAAGATTAACCACCAGAAAGCTGCACATGTTCACATTCTGCACGGCCTGAAGCAGAACACCTTCTTCCTCTGGACTCACTCTGGTTCACGGTACCACCAATAAGCAGCAGTTTCATTTCAAACGGTCCGCAGAGGACACAGAGGCTTGGCTGAATGAAGAAACAGAGACGGAAATAAATGAAAGTATAAATAGACGAACACTGTGGCAAAGACACACATGAACACAGACTGATATCATCATACAAGCCCGCTGGGTCAGAGTTCAAGTGGAAAGCACAAGTCGGTCTTACTGGTCGACTTCTGAAAGAAGAGACGGCAGCCTCGACTCAGAGAGGAAGAGAATTTCACACGTAGCGGTCCAGCTCGGCCTGAGGATCACCGACAGCCTGAAGCCAAACAGAAGACGACTCCAGGTTTAGTTTCTGGATCGAAGGTTTTTCTTTTTGTTAAAGACACCTCTCATCTGCAGTCACAGGCTGATGCCTCCTGGCTGCCTGCTGAATGAATCGTCTTTGTTCCTGGCTCACACCAGGCGCTGGTGTGAGCCAGGAACAAAGACATCCAACACGACATCCAACTCATTCTCTCGGTCATTTCCAGCCAAACTGAAACTAAAACTCGTCATCGTTTCCTCCTGACGAGCAGAACCAGCGTTTCTCTTGACCTGTACTTTAGTCCATTAGGAGCGTTCTTGATATCCAATGATCATATTTTTAGTTCAATTTTTAAAGAATTTCCATTTTTTAATTTTTTTAGCTTTTCTGGGTTTCACAGTAGCAGCTTTATGCACGTTCAGCTTGTAATGAAATAATCCAACAGATTTAACTCAGAGTTTGAATTTAAAGAGGACTTGCATTGATTTTAGTGTTTGTGACTCCAGAAGGAGCTGATCTGATCTGATCTGATCTGATCTGAGTTTGAAGGCGACTAGATTAAAAAATACATACAACAGCAGAAGAAGACAATGTGGAGGTCAGGGTTTCAATCATAAAAATAAAGGAAGAAATTCTTCCGAATTCTGAGTTTCTCACCCACTCAGAGTTCGTT